CCATGAGAAATAAAAAAGATTTTAAGTCTCAAAAATAGTGCATTTTACAACATATTATCTACACCGTCTATTTTCAAGATTTTCATATGTTTATAGATCTACTTGATTTTAACCATTTTTTAAATTTAAAATTTTATAATTAGATATAAAAATAGATTTTGAGATGATCTTAAGAATATTTTACATCAAAATTATATACCATGATAAAATTTGAAGGTTCACCTTACGTCTACAGCTACGGCTGCATCCGTATGCCAGCTGCACCCTTTTTAAGATGTTATCGAATCTACACCATCCAACGGTGTAGACTACTACAACCTTACTTCTACAAATAAGGTTGAAACCTTATATAAACTTTTTCCTAAGTAATTTGCACTAGCAAATGAACCATTAGCATGATGTCAGTCCTCTTTTGTTTCTTCTTGGTTCGATGAGTAGTAACCATAGTTTAATTAAAATGAGGTGTTTTGATAGATATTATAAGTAGAATGCTTGGTGTGATTCATCTTCTTAGCAGTTTGGGTGGTTGATATCTCTTGTGCATGACTTTACGTGTATGGGCGTGTATACGGTCATGTGTGAGTCATAAAGAGAGTACACCAAAACACACGTTTATGTATGTGGAAGTGCTCATACATGTATGCATAGGCTAATGAATGTGCATCTGCACATGGTATTTTTTGTGGTAATGGAATGTGTATACATGCAGTACTGTATCCACACTCCATGCTTCTCTAGACAAAGGGCACGTAATTCCTGGGGACAAAGTGCATATGCTCTTGGGATATCTCCTTTTCGGGAAGAAATGTGCTTGATCCTCCAAAGTTTACCTCCATATGAGGAGCTTAATTTGGTGGCTTGAGAATTCCTTGCTTGTTGAATTCACTCTATGGAACTTTTCCCTTTTTTTTTTTTTTTGACACCATATTTTTTCCATATTACTTATCCCAATCTTGATAGAAAAATAAAACAAAGCATATTAATTCAACATGTATTACCCATATACAGTAATTCCACTTTGGAGCCTCTCCCTTTTGTTCTGCCTATACCCTTAGATGTTTGTTCGGGGGGCATAAAGTAAGAGGAAAGGAAAAAAAAAAGGTGCTGCAACACTTTGTACAGTTAGGAAATATCTTCAAGCTGTTGCAGTCTCATAGAAAATGTCATATAAGTCCCCCGATTTCTATTACTTTATTTTCTCCTGTCTGCACAGACTTGTACATGAGTACCCCACTTTGGTCGCTCTGCAACACTTCAGAATTGTCTTCAGTTAACTCTTACTTTTTTGTCTCTTTAGATCTTTCCATTCAGGATCTCCAAATCCACCTATTTCTCATGCGTCAGAAAACTAGCCATGCACATGCATGTTTAATATACTGTATGCATGTTATTACAGATATGCTGTAATAACCAACTACTACAATTTTTCATCCCAAGTAGCATTTCTAGATTTCAAAAGGTGTTGGAGCTCAACGGTTTTGTCTAACACACAAAATATCAATTCAACTTCATTACTTTTTACGTGCTCTTGGATGCAAATAGAATTGAATGTCTCTATGCTTGCTTCTCCCAAACAAAACTGGATCTTTTGCCAAAGCAGTAATTGATTTTTTGTCAATATTGATATTTGTAGGTTTATGTTGAGGAACCTGCTAATTCATCAATACATTTCTTAACCAGATCAGATAGCATGACAAATACATGTTGATGAAGCACATTTTTAATTTCACTATGTACAAAAAATAGCAATCTATTGCTTTTTTGAGCATCAAGTAAAAGCTGAAGAGACTATACTAGAACATAAAATGTAGTACTCAGTTCATTTGATTGCGAATATGACAATCCATAATCCAATGTACCTTTTTAAATATGAGAAATTCTTTGTTACCTTCAAATAGTTTTAATGGGAGTTTTCATATATCAACTTATCAAATCAACTCCATTCAATATATATAATTGAGTCAAACAGCACAAACCAAAGTTTTGAAGTAAGTAGAATCAACTCTAGAATCATCATATCTACCATTCAACTCGTATTCAACTGCAGTAGTCACTGAATTACAATTTGGCATTTTAAACACTTTAATTTATCAAAATTTCGAGTAGTCATCAAAAGTTACGTCTCCGCTCACCAAATCATCAAATTCTACAAATATATTTCTTCTTTTTTTTACTACATGTCGGGTTGCTAGTCCACCTTTCGAGAAACCATGAATTGCTTTCTCTATTTCAGCTCATATGCATACCAACAACAAGGTTATTGCTACTCCATCCAAATTTTCTGTAAAGTTCACTTGTTCTCCTACTTCGTTGAGCTCTTAAATCTTCAATTGGAACTAAAGTGCCCTAATTTCTTATCATTAAAACATTGAACACTAGTCCTTTCATATCTGTGCCGATTGAATTGTCTGCTCAAATTTCTACTGCCTTGGCCCCTTATGGTTTACCTCATTTGCCCTCTACTACTTTCGGTGTTAAAGTTGCCAGTTCTTCAGCCACCTGTGCAAGATTGCAACCTCCTCGTCACCTTCCTCTAACACTGGCTCCCCACCCCCTCCACCCTTCTATCAAGCACTTACTCGAGACAATTATTTATCTTCTTGATCATTCTCGGTCAATTCCTATGAATACATTTTGTATGATCTCCCATGCTTGTTTCGTGGTGGTGCTAAAGATAACCTTTTCAAAGGTGGTTTTACGTACGCCATGATTAATTAGGAAAATGGCTTTCTTATCTGCTTCCCTTGACTCTTGTAAGGTATTCTTTTGATTATTTGGCAACACAGTTTCATATTCCGAGGTTTCAGGTTCTTTTTGGATTGTGGAGGACATTCCTCTATTCAATAATTGACCTTAACTAGGAATTGCGGACTTCTCATGGGCTAAAGATAAGAGAGGCTGAAGTGGAAGAATTGAACGAAGGAAACCATCATTTCAGTGAGAGGAGACAATGAATGCCATCAAATGCATAAAAGGAGACGCCTCAGTTTCCTTGAAATTAGGTCGTAGATATGCTTCTTAGGAGCATGTCATGTTGAAGCTAACTCGTGGACAATTAGGAAGAATTTACTTGTGATTTTGGAAATGTATATGATAAGACCATTTCTCTTTAATACAAGGAAGTCAAAATCATTATCAGTCATTAAATGTGAAATGTGGTGGTTGGGGATGTGTCATTGACTAGGTTCAAAATAAAAGTTTTTAAACTATTTATATCATTTGTGCTATTAGATTTCACGTCAAATAGCCAGAGATAATTGTGACCTCCTTGTACCAAAAATACGTGGTCTCATGGTATACATTCCCCATGGTTTTTGGTATCCTAAGTGGTTTCTTTACTTTTTGTTTTCTCCTTTGTCATACTACCATGTATACTATACTCCCATGGAAACATACTATTCGTATTCTCCCTTGCTCCAAATAACTGTTTAGAAAAACTATTTGTTTAAAATTTTGGGAACCACATAATAACTACTAGAATTTATTTTCAAAAGAAATTATTGAATTTTGAGTTTTGTGACATATAGATCTAGCTCTTCAAAAATTGGATGGTCTCTATTCATTCTTAAGCCATTATTTTTTTAGCACATAAAAAATTTGTATCGAAAGTTTTTTTATTGAGAATACTTATGGGTTGCAGAGATTAAATACACAAAATTTGAGATTTAAAAATTATTCCTAAGGGTAATACCCGAGGGAGTAAATGGAGTATACTCCCATGAGAGTAGAAAATATTTTGGCTTGTCATATACTCTGTTTGTACTTTTGTCTGGATTAAGACAACAAGCTCCTTCTCAATAAAATGCACCATAAATATGTAAACTAATACTGCTAGGCTGAATAGGTGTCAAGCTTTTTGCTTGAACCATTTTGTATGGTGTCCAGTTGATTTTGGAAGGGAATTTCCGTGACAAAAATCTTGATAGGATATGGGATGGTTCCTTTAAATCATTTGAACCCTTTGAACCTAAGTGTGTGCTTCACAAAATTTGGTCATCATTTGCACTCTTAATAAATATGGCCAAGATTAGTGATGCAATGCCCTGTAGAAAATATGTTGTTTTCTATTCAATAAATATTCTACCAATTAAAAATAATTTCAATAGGAAATAAGTGTCAATGAAATTTTACTATATGAAAAAACATATAAATGTCCTTAATCAACCAAAATAATGAATCAGTTGAACTAGTGGCACTTGGATCTCTGCAAGATGCAATTAGAAAAGGGTGTGGTTTGCATAAGGTTGCAAGCTTAAATAATTAAAGAAAGTATATCTCCAAGCATGGTCATGACATGACATTTTGGTGCAGTAATCAATTTTTGCCTCTAATTATCAAATTTTAAAATCTAAAAATAGTTTAAATCGAGTAGATCTATAAATGCTGAAAATATTAAAAATGGACGGTCCAAGTAATGTGTTGCAAGATGTACTATTTTTAAGACTTGACATCTATGTTTTTCTCCATATCAAGATGATCAATTCAATGTTTTTCCAACATCAAAAACCTTTTTAGAAGAATTTTAGAGGTGAACCTTGATTTTAAATTTTAAGGTGTCAACCTTATATAAACTTTTTCCATTAGAAAATAAATCCAATACCATTTCATATCCAACAAATATCTCTCTGATCATGACTTGTGATGGTATAGACATCATATCAGTTCATCTTTTGTACCAAGAATTAGCTCTTTATACTTCAGATGTTCCAAATCATTTCATTTTTATGTTCCAAACATCAAATAGACCTAGATCATTTATAAAAAAATTAGAACTTTTTATATTAAAAATTTTAATCAATTTTTTAATTTTAAGCATAACAAAATTAATTGAAACTAAGTTCTACCAACAAAATTTTGTGAAATAATTCTGATAATCCTCCACCTTTATGAAAATATAGGTATCTTTCGGACTTGCAAATAATATATTATTATCACTAACTATTATGAAATAATTCCAATAATCATCTATTTATATTATGAAAAGTTTGTGCATCCCTAAAGGTTTCAGACTTCAACCTTTAGTTGACATTATCATCAATATCAATGAGAAACATAGTAAATGACGTTTTGACCTAAGAATCTTGACTAATAAACCTATTACATAACCACGTTACTTTATGTGAACCAAGAGATGCTCAAACACCCTATCATGCTTAGGTTATTAGCTTTAAACTGAGCCTTTTTTATTATTTATGGATAAAAGAAATCCAAGGCATCTGTAGATAACTTGTTAATTACATTCACACCTCAACCAATAGAGGAAGAAAGCACCGTTGTTTAATCGATTACAGATGATAACAGCTTGAAAGAAAAGGTATAACTATAGGATATGATATACGTCCTTCACATACGAAGGGCCTTCAACTGCGTATTTCTTTGTGTCTTCTTATCTCCTCATTTGTCCATCATTTTTGAAATTTGGGGATAATTGGCCTCTTATTGACTTGCACCAGTCAGTTATTTTGACTTGCCTGGAAATCATGTGGTGTTCATCATGGTAACTGAAGCCATTAACTCGTAGAGAGTTCCTGTGTTGCTGTGTATCAACAAACGCTGGCCCTTATGGGCCACGTATCTTTTCTAAATAAGTATGATTTGTCTTCATGCATAATCTTCTGTTGAGTATGCTTTGGAAAAAGCTGCCACCAGGAAGTGTGATATTTCACCAGTAGGAAACATGATATTTAGCCGATAAGTTTGGGAAGATTAGGAGACTTCGATTTATCCTCCAAAATAAATAACGTTTTAGGTCTTATGACTTGTTTCATGAGAAGTCTTGGGCCTCTAAAATGGGATATTACCAAAAGGTGGCTTTAAAGATAACCTATACGAGAATTTTGATCAAAGAGAGGTTCTTTCTCATTTGCCGGGGCGTAATAAACGGGATAGAGCCTCATGAGTGCTTTGTCAGAGGGTAAACTCTGAGGCAAAGTAATTTGAAAGGTTGTCACTAGAGTGATTTGAATAGGAGAGTGTAGATGTGGATGGGTATCTTCAGTGTGATAAGGCTAATGGAGGTTCTGTTGAAATGTGTTACTGTCGATGATTTTCAATGTTTCAAAAAGCGTTAGGTGGGTCCTAGGCGGCCTGAGGTCTAGGCCGCCCAGTGCCTAGGCGGGCGCGCAGAACTTGAGCGGCCTAGTTGAACCCAAATAAGGATTATGCAGTGCAGTTATGTCAGTATCAGTTATATGCATTGCAGTACATAATTCAAATTATACTACATATTAGCATTTAGCAAACACTCTATAAACATAACCATAATCCATAAGTCGGTTCATACTCCATGTCCATAATTCAATTAAAACTTAAAATTTACGGCCAACCAAATTATCAAACCAAGTTATCAAATAGTATCACACCAGTACGGCAGTACACCACTATGAGGAAGAAAAAAAATTGAATTATGAAACTATGAAAGTAATACTTGAAAACTCAAAAGACTCTTCAATAGTTCAATACACAATACTTCAATCAAAGTTCAAACTTCAAAAGTTTAATAATTATTCAACAATCAACATTCATCATTCATCATTCATTCTTCATCATAAAATCTTGGGTCAGCTGCATTGGCATCATATTCATCGGAGTCGACGGAGTCGTCACCCTCCTCGACATATTGGTCGTCCCCATCCTCCTCTGCCTCTTCTGAATCAGCCTCTTCTTCCTCCATCTTTGTTCTCTGTGCAGAAGATCTATTGACCTTAGGAGGATCAGCTGATGTCCCTGAAGCATCCATAACAATGTTTTATGTCAATCCTTCATGCCTCGACCTCATCATCATCAACTAACCACTCCATAGCATGGTCCATATTTTTTGATCTGATGGGGTCTCTCTTATCTCTCTTACTAAACTTGCCCTTCAATAATCGATTGTACTTGACATAGACTAGATCATTGAGCCTCTTTGATTCAAGCTTGTTCCTTTTCTTTGTATGAATCTAATAAAATCAAATGAAACTAATTAAATTTAATATATATGGTTAATGTATTATTTATAAAATTATACAAATCACCCATGCGGCCTTACTCCTTCAAAAGTACTCCAATTGCGCTCACAACCGGATGAAGAAGTGGTTAGGTTTAAGATCCGAATGGCCAATTTTTATAAATTTGGAGAACTAAACCCATGTTGGCTCCACCAATGGGCTACAAAGAAATAGAATAAAATCATAAATAAATAATAGAATTGCTTGACTACTTGAACAGTTTGAACTTAAGAATAATACTGATTCTTGGATCAATTTTTGCCCTTTGCTTCATTGTCATTGGACTTCCAAAAGACTTTAATGAGCACTTTTAATTTATCAGCTCATCAGCGCATATAATATCATGCATATCAGGATCAGGGACTAGCACCTCTACACACATTAAATCCATTCATAATTGTGTCATTTGTTTTTATATCCTTGTCAATATAAAAAAAAAAAAACTGGGTTCAAATAATAATCAACTGCATGCAATGGCCAATGTAGCTGCCTATCACACTTCTCATTAATAATCTAAAAAACAGGCTTGTAACGGGTTTGTTCATCATTGAAATTGTGGGTTATCTCTCTTTTACATTTCTCCATAATATCATATATGTAGCCCATAGAAGGCTTGTCACTATCAACCATGTGAAGGACTTTGACAAGTGGAAAAAATACCTTTAGAGCGCCCTTCACCCCTCTCCAGAAGCCTTAAAAAGTATAATATCTCTCACCTTCTTCCCAACCTGATCCTTAGACCACTTACATGCTCTCCATTCATCTGAGATAAACATTTGTATCAACTAC